TTCCTGACTTTGAAAATACCCAGATGTTGGTTTACAAATCAGAAGGCTGTCTAGGGGCGATCTCTGTCCCCTCTCTGATTCAGACAGTCCTTTCTGTAAGCACTAGAGACCAAGGGTTCACTGTCAGCCTCCCGTCTGGCTCTCCTTAGCAACGCCCCTAAGCCAGAAGGCCACCTTTCCCTGGGACGGGCTAGATGCTGGCTGCCAGCCACGGCGATCTGAGCCGGGTAGCTTGAGAGTCTCCTAGGATGTCACCCACCAGTGAGGGAGCCTCGAAGCTGCTCTTTTGACCCAGGAGAGGGTCCCCAGAGCTAGAGTCCTGGCCAGCCGTCCAGGTCTTTGTTCCCACCTCCGGCCCTTGAAGCGTTAGGGATGGCCGACAAGCTGCCCTGCAAGTAGCCGTTGCCATCCTCCTGGATCCCTCTCAAGGCCACATTCCTGCCTTTTTACAGCACCCAGATCCACCCCAGTCCTGTACCCACCATGCCAGGTTGGCCGCCCCGGCTAAGCCAAGATCAGTCTTGGCGTTCTGCCTTCTTGCTCCCTCAGAAAGTGGGTATCTGGGGACACGCTTGTTTTCCCCTGGGGTCCTCGCAGGCGAGATTTAGGAAACCCCTGCTCAGAGACCTGACCCTCGGAGCAGATCCCCTAAGGAGCGGCCTGGTCAGCGGTAACCTGTCTCCCCTTGCCGCCTCCCGCCTCAGCTGCATAGACTCGTGGTTTGAAGTGAACAGATCTTGTCCAGAGCACCCCGCGGACTGACCCTGCTGGGCTCGCTTGCCGATTCCTCTCAAAGGTGAGCTGGGCTCGGGGCTTGGGTCAGGTCACCCTGGGGCCTGGGGGCGGGGGGCCGAGTTGTCCGTACGCACCCCCGGGAGGGGAGCGTCATGGCAGTGAGTGGTCCTGGTGGGGGGAGATGATTCTGGGAAGGCTAAGAGGTGCAGACTTGCACGGTTACGAAGAAGAACCGCTCAGTACAGTTGATCCGCTGGGGAAGGACCAGCCTGTCTAGACGTCTGGGGCAGATGCCCCTGAAGGAGGTTCAGGAAGAGCCCCTCGGAATGTGCCAGGCGGGAGAAGCAGCATGAGCTCGGGAACCGGACACTGGGCTTGCACCCAGCCGGCCTTGTGCTCGCTGAGAGGCTGGGGCAGGTCCTCAAGTCCTCAGGGTCTCCGCTGCTTTGGGAACAGGGGGATAATCTTGCTCCCCGTCCCTGTATGGGCATCACACTTATTAAACAGGACAGTCTGTGGGACGGTGCGTTGTCCCCTGCAGGGCTTGTCAGTGATCATTCCACTGCTGGTTCTTCCTGCCTCAGACCACCTCCCTTATCCCCGCTGCCAGACGGAGCTGAGGCCTCCAGGCCGGACGCAGCCCACCCACCCACTGCACAGGTCCCTGATCCCGCAGCAGGCCAGTGCAGCTAACATCCCTATAGAGAACCTTCCAGTCTGACCTCTCCACTTCTTCAGAGCACCCTGCTTTACTGCTGACCATCCTCTCTTGTCCCCGTCCTACCTGTCCCTTCTGAGATCTGGGCTGGCACCTTGTTTTGTTCTGGCAAGCAGACAAAACCCCCAAAGAAGCCAAAACCCTGACTTCACTTCATCTCACATCCAAAGGTTTTGGGGCCTCTTTTCTTTTCTTTTTTTTTTTCTCTCTCTCTCTCTCTCTCGTCTTTTGTTTTGTTTTGTTTTCTCTTGTTCTTTGTTAGGTTTATTTTATTTATTCCAAGTAAACTCCCAGAACAACTGATGATGGCAGACAAATCAGGGACATTTGCTCTTTTTACCTTCACCTCAAAAACTGAGGACACGGGGAGATGGAACAGCGAGGGCGAGAGTGAGGCGTGCGCGTCCCGATTCCCGGCACGATGTTTGCCCCCTCGGGGGCTGGACCGGAACCACCGGCGCCCAGGCCCAGCCTCCGCCCCACGGAGCACGACTTACGCACTGTGGCCCACGTGGGGACAGCCAGCCCTGGTCCTGGGAGGAGGCTTCAGACACTGAGGCCGAGCCGAGTTGGGGACACCAGTGGGAACAGGGCACACTGTTCTACTGCACTGACTTCCAGACACTGGTTCTCCCTTCCTCCCTGAGGACACCAAATCGGATGAGCCGCGCGTCCGAGAGAAGAATCGACCGCCATCCTTCCCCTCACCCCTCATCCCAGGAGGGAAAGCGCATTTTTTTTTTCCACCTTTGAAAGGCATTGTGGGTCTGTCTCTAAAGTGTTTACAAA